GCAGATGCTTTAAAGTCTGCTCCCATTCCTCAATGGGAACTTAAAAGCACAGCAAAGTCCATTTTCAAGCATGCTTTACTTAAAGCTGTGGAGGGGAAGAAAACAGGAGACTACTGCCCCGGCGCTCCGTGGGGCACTGTGCAGCTGGGGGCTTTTGCAGCAAGTCTCGGCGCTGCTCTGGGGACGCTGCGTTAGTTGGGGCCAGCTCTGAGACCAGCTCTGGCTGGATCGCTGGAATGCACTTTGCTCGGGTGCTGTAATTTTCAGCCCTTCCCACTCCTAAAAACCAGCTGACTCCAGGAAATCCCACAGCCGAGTACTAAGATGGTCCTCTCTCTGGGTCAAGCTGCCAAGGAGGGTGCAGAAGGGGAGAGGGATCTACCTAGCTAACGCTGTAAGAGAAGGGATGTTTACTTTGGGTTGGTTTGTGTCGTGCATTCTGAAAAGGTATGGTAGGATATCATGAACGACACCACAAACTTCCAAAACGCATTTGAAAAAGGCACATATACAATAAAGCATGTATCTCATTATATGATACCATACATATAAATATACTTTCTCAAAATCTCCAGGCTTCCCTAAACTGCAGGCCATTACTACCATCCATTTTCGTTTTTAAATGATACTAAGCTAAGCTAAGATGTAAATTTCTAGCGTCAAAGCCAATTTCATTGCACTTTTCCTAAAATGCCACACTGAGTTTAGGCAAGTCAGGTATCAGTGCAGCCTCCCTTTGCCCTCGTCATTATGTTATAACACACAGCAAGACTTAAGGAAAGGACTATTATCTAGCAAAGGAACTGTACTACTGTGGCTTGGCTGAAATAAGCACCCTTCCCTAAATTACCTCCAAAGTTCCTCTCCGGAGGAAGGAGTGTCTGCTACCTGCCTTCTTTCAAATATGAAAAAGCCGGCTCAGGACCTAGACAATAGTAATACTGTCCTACTAAAGGCCAGTTTTGAAGGGTTTGGTTTAATTCCTGGCCTCCTCTTCTGCCTGACAGCCCCAATTTAGGAATACCTTTCTAAACAGAAAGAAATTTGGAAAGTCTTAAAAATGAGAATTTCTTCACCTTTTACTAAATATACTTTAGGTCCACATGGCTATTTTGCGAACTGTGTCCTCACCTTATAGAAACTACCACCATTAAACCCGCAAAAAAATCAGGCCAATTATCAAATTCAGATTCTTTCTGTCTAATAGAGACCAATAGATGTTAATGCCTAGACACTTTTCACATCACATCATAGATGGAAGCACTTTTTAAGGAGAATAAAATTGTTTTAATCCCATAAGTTACTGAGTAAAGAGCTGGCTTTACTGAAAAACGCTATATATTTTGATGTGCACTCCTAACTGACTGCAAAGAGAAGTGGCTGTAAAATTCATTGGCCGTAATAGCAGATATATAGATAATGCCCTTTGCTCCAAGAATATGGATCGTACCAAGAGCAGAATAAGCAGTCACACTTCTTTTTTAATTAATAGGTTTGTAATACTCTAATTGAGTCAGAATCGTGCCATATTTGATGTAAAAAGCAGCGACAGGATTTACTGGCAGGGATGTGTGCAGAAATGTTTTTTTTTTTTTTTAATGAAAATGAGGAATGCTCATAGGAAGCCAGTTCTAAATTTGCAAATACATGTTTTTAACTGGGAACTTGATTCCAAGAATTTCAAGAGAGTCCAATAAAAATCAGCCAGGTTCGATTTTCAACACCAAATACTTAGAACAAATGGATCCGCAGGCCAAGGATTATCTAGTGAAATTCCTAGTACACTGTGAATGACTAATGAACTTGACAAAACTCAAGAGCTTTTCTTAGAAATCTGCAGAGAGCAAGCAAGAAGAAAAAAAAAAATAATTCTCCAAGGCCTCATTTTGCACACTGCCGTGTAGGGGAAAACTACTTTACATAAAACCCTCCAATAATTTTTGGTAGGAAGTGAATGCTAAAATAAATGCTAGTCCAAACCTTTGTTCAAAATTTGAACTAGAATTTGATCTTTTCCTTTCCCTAGCTCTCGGATGAAAAACTGCAGTGAGTGTTCAGAAAAGGACATTGATAATAAAAATTAACGCAACCCCTCATGATCTTGCTCTCCAAAAAATGCAGTTTTTGGAAGATACCTAAACCAGCATGTGTCCCCACTGCCTCCCCAGTTCTCCGTGCCTGTGCTCACATTCAGACATGGCAGTGCTCACTTTCAGATCCTGCGTGCTACCATTGGAACAAGAAACTGGGCTTAACTGAAGGCAGATAACAAAACCACTGGGCCTCCCCATCTGATCTTTTGAACATCTACAGAACGTATACTATAAAAGGTATCAAAGAATGAAAGTGCACACTAACGGACTGCAGATATAATGGCAACCAACATATTTGGGGATACACAAGAGATTGTCTGCCTTTCCTGTATTCCAGTGCTTTCCCAAACACAGGAAGATTTTTTTAACACTTCTTCCCTAGTGCTAACTGTTTGAAGAAACCATAGCCTATGTTCTTTCCACTGACCACAGAGGGGAGAACGGAGTCTCCCAGAGACTGAAAGGAATTGCCAGCAACTCTGGCTCAGGCATGTGTCTTTCTGGAGGCCCGTGCCAGCCTTGTGACCTTCAGGGACAGCACTTTTCCTGCCTTTTTTTTTTTTTGCCTTTTTTTTTTTGGTGTTACATGCTGTAAAAGCAACCCTCCTTTTCTGAATTTCCAAGCACATCCTGATGCAGAACATGGCTGGCCGCCTCCTAAGCCAACCTTCATAGCTGCAGAGAATCAGCCATACGGGATAAAAGTGATGCCCTCCAGCATATCCCCCTTTTTCTCCTACATAAACTCCTTTGATTGCACCAAGCACAAGAAAATGAGAATGGTCTGGAGGATGGCAGCAGTTCAGTTGCCTGAGTTTTCTCTACATTAGGACGAAGAAAGAAGGAGGGGGAGGAACCCAACGATATTAAGAACAATGTTGGGAATAGGTCTTTAAATCTGTCTCTCCAAAGCCCGTATATTCCCAGCCTTGATAGCTCTCACATTACACAAGATGACATTTCTCTCCATATTGTATTATAATTAATAGGCTACTGCAAGACTTTACCAGCTCTTACTTAATAGCATTTCAGTGCTGGGAAGCAGTCATCAGGTAATCTGGCCATGATCTACTGTATCCTTTCTAAACACAGGTTCTAGCTGCCAAGAATGTCACCATAAAAAGATTTCAATCAATACCACTCAGCTCCTACTTTCAAATGCTCCAGGTCTAGGAAGAGAAGAAGAAAAAACCCAATACCCTCAAAACGAACAGCAAACTGGCATATGCGTCGAGTACGCAGATTGAAGTGAGCAGATGGGAATTCATTATGGCCTGATCTTGCTCTCTCTTTTATACTTTAGTAACTTTATACTTTGGAAAAGGTCTCACCAAGCGCATGGAGACCACGTGCACAGAGGGGGTTAAACCCATGCAGATCTTTCCATTCTCAAGCTGTGCTCTTGTTGCCAAACAACAACATTTCAATTGTGATTGGTACAAACAGTTGGGTTTCAATGGCAATCTGTCACGTAGGTTTAAGCCCAGTTTTTACTGATGCAACCTGCAACTTGCTGGCTTTGTTACTTATTGGGAGAGAAAGAAAGGAAACAAAACAGATTGGTGGTTTTTTTTTCCTTGTCCAGTCTGTAGTTCAATGACTTGCTCTGGAGTTTGTTTCTCCATTTGTTTTCCCAACAGTGAAATTAATAAATTAGGAATAAAAATAAAATCTGCAAATCCAAAGCACAGCACCTGCATCTCCACCAGAAGAAGTAGGGAAGGTCACGCACAATCTGTTTGTTTGCAGGGCTTCTGTGGTCTCCAAGAGCAAAGGCTATACAGCAACACCTGCAAACACTTCCACCCATAAATTAAAGCAGAATTGATGACTTAAAAACAGAAGGAAGTCACTGGTTCAGCAAATTAGCAAATAAGATGTCAACAATAGGAAAAACAGTCAAGGCTCGGATCCTGATGTAGCTGAAGTAGTTGGGGTAGTTCCATTAAATTCGATGGAGCTAAGAGGATTAATGCTGGCCAAGGATCTGGCTCCTAGCGTTTTCCCAGCTGCAAGTCTTAGTTTAGGCTGTTGCCAAGAGGTTAACACTGTGATAATAGAATGAGAAAGTATTTATATAATTATATATCTATATATACCTATATTTAAAGAACACTTTGCTACTAGTACTTCTGTCATTTTAAAATCTGTAATTTTAAAACAAAATTATTTCAGAAGAGCAGCAGAACCTCTTGAGTAAACTACAGACTCTCACCCGCTCCTAGGCCACTTACTGTCCTAGAAGCAAGTTTAAATGTTATTTCTAAATGCTATTTCTTAAAACATAGGGTGCAACTAAATAAGTAAGGCTCCCAAGGGTCGCTAAGAAGCCAGTGAGTCAACACATAGGCATGGAGTAACAGCAAATCAACAATTCTAAAAAAGGTGCTTCATAAGTTAAGGAAAATAAAATACAAAGCCTCAGACTTACCACAGAAGGCCCTGACTTATGAAACTAAACTGCTGTGATGTGGTACAGTGTTAAGACATACATTTCTTTTTGTTTGGTTTTTTTTTGTTTGTTTTGGGCTTTTTTTTTGTTTGGGTTTTTTTTTTTGTTTTTAACATTCTAGAGGGGCAATACACACTGAACCCAGGAAAGTAGCTCACCCTAGAAAGTAATTTTGAAAGGAATATCAACTTTGATTCGCGCTCCTAACAGTTTTGCTTTAAAAATAATTGTTCATTCTGCAGAATAAAGTTCCCTCTCCCCTCCTCCAGCCACCGAAACCCCACACCGTATCTACACATTTGAAAAAGGCTCTCCTCTGAAATGTTTCTACCTATTTGTCTGAAATTGTAAATGAGTGGCATCTCATGGGGACTTTAAAGCACCTAGCAGGGTTGAGCGATATCCAAAAAAAGGACATGATGTACAGCTGATTGAGACAGAAACGAACTGCCTTTCAATTCCCACAGAAAGCGAGGCGGGTCACTCACCAAAAAGTGACTGCAACAACAAAGCCCTCTGTTATCCCTTCCATTCCTTCTTTCCATTCTTAAGCTGGGCAGAGCAAATGAGGTTGGGTCCACAAAAAATAAGGTTAATAATAATAATTAAACAACAGCAACAACAACAACAGCAACAACAACAAAATAGGCGTCTCAATGTCTGAGGAAAAGTGGGATTGTAAGTGCAGTATTTCTTCATGTGCAGTTCTTCTACTTCATACGAGTCCCCTTTGGATGAGAAGGCCTAGTGGAATGTGTGCTCCCCTCGGACTATGTGCGACGAGAACTCATAGCGGTCCTGGCTTCGGTAGCCACAGATGTTGCACTCTAGCGGGTCCCGGTAGCCGTGGCAGCCCATGTGGATGGTGTACATGACATGGTCCAGGAAAAGGACGCGACAGTGCTCGCACTTGAAAGCCCTAATCTGCTCCCCTTCTCCGTTGATGACCTTGTAGATATCCTTTAAAGAGCCCTTAGAAGCTTTTGTGGCATCCAAAGCCTTGGCGTCCTCCTTCATATAAGCCGGGCTTGGCTTTCTCTTGGGATTTAAGGCAGAGTTTCCTTGGTAGGACTGGCGGTCTTCGTGGCTGCTCTCTGAGTCAGTAGAATCCAGGCAGCTATTGCTGGGGGAGCCCTCTCTATCCTGGGTTCGACTCTTTGGTCTGATAAGGGAGATCGGGCCATCCATGTTGTTCTCGTGACTGTCAGCTGTTTCCCTGCTAATGGGCCTTTCTATCCTGTTAGGATGATAGACCTGAGCGTAAGCTGAGCTGATGACCGGCGCCACCTCTGCAATTGTGCTTGGTGTGTGCTGCATCAGGGGGTGAAGTGCCTCAGTTCCAAGGTAGGTGATTGCATTGTTGATGGCTTGGTCCATCATGTGAGACTGCATCAGCTCAGCCTCCTTCTCATAGGTTAGGTTCATATCAAAGGGAATATCTGGATAGCCAAATCTCATCAGCTTTTCACCTAAGGGACAAGAGCAAATAAATGAGAAAAATCAACGTAATCACTCCAAGACTGCACTGTAAAAGGTGTGGGGAAGGACAGAATATCCCCGACTTGGGGTGAAATTCATTCCAGAGTCCAAAGTTAGCCTCCTTCTGCTTGTTTATTGACCTCCTACAAAATTTCTGTCCTGAGATGGGTAAAAGAGCAACCTCACCAACAACTTTTTTTTTTTTTATTCCAGGTGAAGCATGTGGCTGCAGCGACCTCCAGACCAATTCCAAACCTTCCACTGGGCCTCATCCCGTTCTTCAAGTTAGGAAATACACATTAACTGGTAGAACATGGTATTGAACCACTGAGGTCAATGAAGCTCCGCTGGTTTATACCATTAGACATACTCTCCCAAAATTAAAGGAGGCAGTACCACGTCCCCTGCACTCCAAGGTGCCTCATACGTACCTTACAACAGGGCTGCCTAGTGAGAAATTTAACCAACAGGGTATAGAGGACTGGTACAGTGGGGACCTCACAGCTTTAGAACCACAATATGTAAATCTTTCAATCAGCAGACAAAATATAAAATGACTGAACGTGGCTACAGAAGAGAGCAAGTAACATGAGCACAGGGGGCTGACCTGCTCTCTTGTGTTCAGGCTATA